TGGAGCGGATCTATTTGGAGTTCTTATTTCTAACTCAAGTAGAACTTTCATATAAATATTTGTATCAAAAGAACCATATAGATATGCAATTATTACATCCATCACATGCATCTCAAGGGTGGCATGAACTATCATTCGAATAATATATCGAAATGTAATTGAATCCATGACTAGAGAATATATGGATTCATAATCAATGCCAAATTGATGAATAAATCCTTGTGCAACAAGATAAGCTTTATAGCGGGTTATTTGACCTTAAGCATCTTGCTTGTATATTAATACCATCATATATTCCACAGGGCAAGATGTAAAAGTGTCTATAATTGAACCAAAGACTTTCCTCTTACGCAAAGAGGTATACTCCTTTTTAATAGTAGTTTTCCATTTTGACCAATCAGAGCGACGCATCGCCTCTTCGATGGTTTGAGGTTTAAGATCGTCTTCCTTGCAAGAAAGGGCTTCTATAATCATATATACAAACGATTCATCTACCGTAATAGATGGTCTGTTCCAAATATCATCTATAGTATAATACAAAATAGATAATTCTTTACTCAAGTTGTTCTTATTCCTTATAATTCCAAGATTGTTTTTTATAGGAATTGAAAGTACATTATGCATGGATATATCATCATGAATTGGTAGTTCCATAGGATGAGTGGTAATTTCTTGAAAAATAATATCAAGATTAGTAAATTTTATAGCTTTTTTTTTTATGTGGTTGCTTATCTAGTCCACGAGTTCTTTTAATTGTCGTTGTTATAACTTAAGGTATTGTAGTCAATGGCAGTGCAATTTGAGCAGGTGCATTCTGAGCCTCATTAATATGAATTCTTGTAATTCTAGATGCATCATTGAAGCCATCAAGTATTTCATCTGCAATCCATTTTAGAAGCAAAATCTTAACATCTTCAGTTTCTGCCAAAGATGTCTTAAGATCGGGATTCATTGTAAACATTTCTGGTGCTTCAAATATGAGTATTTTATTTCTTTTTTGATTGGATACTCATCCTTGAAGAGATGGAAATATATTTTCTTCAAAACAACAATTTTGCAAACGTGCACGTAATAATGTGCCAGTTGATGGATCAATAATATGAATAATGCTTGGTGAATCAAAACCAACATATATGCCTTCTTGTCGATGAGCTCCAATGGTACGTCATTGAGGTTCTCGTATTGGAATCCAAGCATAGCAACCAAATATTCATAAAAAAAATACATATTTGGAACACAACCCGAAATAAGCTCATGTGGTGAAATAATTTCAAGAGAAGAAGGGCAAAGGTGTATTAATGCTGTAACATGTAAAACTGCATGACCCCACATAGATGCAGGTAAATTTGTGTGAAGGAGGAGTAGCTAGGTAATGAGTTATATACACTTTATAAATGACTCTACAAGTCCATTTTGAACATGTTCATGTGGAACATAATATATCAACTCAATTCCTGTTGTAATACAATAGTCTTCAAAAGACTTTGATGTGAATTCTTTTGCATTATCCATATGCAATATTTTTATAGGATAATCAGGAAAATGTACCCGAAAACGAATAAGCACAGATATAAGATTGACAAACACTATGTTTTGAATTGATAATAATGAAATATGTGATTGTTTACCTGATGCATCAACAAGGACTAAAAAATAACGAAATGGTCCTGATATTGGATTAATAGGACCACAAATATTACCATGCAATCTTTCAAGCATTGGTGGTAATTCTTGTAGAAGTTTCCAAATTGAAGGCCGAATAATCATTTTACCTTGCACGCATGCATGACATAATTCCATAGAGTCTACATCTGCAAGCTTTAAATTATGCCCAATTATACATGGAATGATCTTTCTAAATAATGTAGATCTTGGATGTCCCAATCATCCATGCTAGAGAGAAACACGACTCTCTGTAATAGATGATGCAAAATTAAATATAATGGTAGGTTGAATCACAATTCGGTATAAATCATTTTCTGTAGCAAAAGCTTTTTCAACAACTTTATGATTCTTTGCAAGAACCAAAACCTCTTTTCTATTTAAAATGGCGGTCAAGAGGTAATAACCATTAATATGCACATCTTGATAGCTGATCAGACTCTGAGGTGCTGAGGATGCAAACATGGCATTTTTATATTTTATGATCAAACCCACAAGTAATTTTACCATCGTTGTGCCTTCTTGGAAACAAAACTCATTTGTTCTAGCCACGGTCATCATATTTTTAGTTTGCCAAGTTGAAGATTTTTCAATAAAAAATCGTTTATCTCGCAAGATAGTATGTGTTATTGTAGAATCAATGAGCGTATCATTTGATTCATCATTAGAGGTTTTGTCATTCATATAAGCCTCTAAGTCATCAACACCAATTGAATCCATCAAGGCATCCATGGTATAAACTTCATGAGCCTCAACTTGTAGTTTCTTATTTTCTTGGAACATTTTAATAAAATATTCTGAAGTACGGCATGCATGTGCTAAATATCCAATCATTCCACATTTATGGCAAGAATGCATCTCTGATTTTTGTTTTCTACTATAATTAATAATAGAACGTTTATTCTTTCTGTATAGGTAGAAATAGTCATGACTATGACTATCCTGATACTTATAAGCACGTTTCCCATGTTTATATAATTTTTTCTTAGATTTTGAAATATTAAGTGCATGGGATTTTGGAACTATAATTTGAATAGGACGAGCTTCCGCATTGTGCAAGAGTAGCTCATTTTGCTTCTCCGCAAGAAGTAGATAGGACATGAGATCAAAATGACTCTGAAATTTTACATTCCTATATTTTTGTGCAAGCACAGCACATACAAGAGGAAATGTAGAGAGAGTTTTCTCAATCATTTCTTCTTTAGAAATGCTTTGTCCACATAATCATAATTGTGAGACAATACTATACATTTTCATTATTGAAAGCATTTAAATTTGGAAAATCCAAGACATGCAAATGTGTCCAATTATGATGTGCACGTGGAAGGAAAATGGTCTTTTGATGATCAAACCTAGATTTAAGATTCTTCCAAAGTTTTGCAAGATCTTCCATTTCTAAGTATTGATATTGTAATGCAGGTACAAGATGACGACAAAGGAGAAGAAGTGCTTTCCAACAAATAGCAGGAAGAATAGAAATACTTATTGTAGGAGATTCTTCAAACATAATGACATCCGAGAGTTGTGCTACAAATAAATTTGCTTTTGCCATTTTTACCAATAATAGATAATTGTTTCCATCCACAGTCAATGGTGGAAATAAAAGAACTTGAAAATGTTTGGATGCAGTAGTAATAGTTGGAACCATAGTAGAAGTAGTTGAAGATGTTGAAGCACTCATTATAAATAAATCTGTAAAGAAAATACAAAATCAAGTAGAAAAGTTGAGTAAAACGTACCTTAAAATATAAAGTCAAATAAAATGATGAACTTGAACTTGGAAAATAATATATATATATATATATATATATATATATATATTTAAGGAGAGATTATGGATTAAGGTAGTAGAAATAGTAGTAGGAGGACAGCAGTAGGCAACGACAGGGTAGGCAGTAGCGGCAGCGGTGGTAGGATGGACGGTGTGATGAGTTCAGCAGCAGTTCGGTAGCTGTTGGGCAGTAGGTAGGAGGTGCAACAAGGAGCAAGCTGAGTGAAGCTGGGCTGAATCAAGTATTCTAAGTAAGCACGGCAGAGAGTAGAACAAGTGCTCTAAGCAAGCAGCTAATGTGTGAGGGGCCAGCAAGAAGAGCAGTAAGATCATGAGGCAGACACTGAACAAGAGTATCAACAAGTTTGAAGAGTCAAGTCTAGAGAAAAAAAAAATTGTGATAGTGTATAGAAAAGAGTCGTGCTGATAAGGTGTTAAGAATGTTTAGAAAGACACAAGAGTAATAGTAAGTAATACACACACACAAGAGTAGTAGTAAGTCATACACACAAGAGAGTTTTTAAGGAGAGAGAGCTTCACACATAAAATTCTATTGATCTGGATGTGTCTCGTATACAAGAAGAAAAAAAGAGAGAGGATAAACAATACTTCTCCACTAGACTCTAAATATTGTAGCTATAGTATTTATTGTAGTCTATAATAAATATTATGGAGAATGCTGGCTACATTTAATGATTTCAACAATCTCCAAAAGGTTTTGAGTTTTCATGATTTTTTTTGTATTTAACAAGTTAAAAAATAGTAAATTGAGAGTTTCAACTGATTTAAATTAAATCACATAAATACATATCATAATGTTTTTAAAAATTCTATCTAATTTATGCAATAACTACTTTTTAGACTATTAATAAATTAAAATACAATATAAAATAAATGTAGGAATATTACTAAGTCTTTATACTAAAGACATTAGATTAGTTTTTAATCTTGTTAATTAAAGACAAACTTGATTTAGAACTTTCCAATTTTCATATTAAATTAGAAAAGAAGATGTATAACAAATGTTAAAATATTACTGAAACTTTTCACAACATTATCTTGTCCAAGTCTTATTCATCATCAAATTTTAATAATAACAGTACCAAATAGTGCAATAATAACATGTGCTAAAATGCAAAGAGATCAAATAATCAAATATCAATGAGATTTAATGAAATGTACATATTTTTTTAGGATATCTCAAAGACAACATGTTTAAAAACTAATACAGTAGTCCTCTATAAATATCATTTCACAGGCAGAATACCAAAATGTTGAGGGTAAAAATAAGTGTTTGCTCAATCGGATTTCCATTTTGTGACCATCTTTACCAAATTATGTTAACAAAGTTGAGGGATTAGGGTTTTCAAACTCTAATCCCTAAACCCTGTCTCATTTCAGCCCTTCGCATTGGAGATACTTCGATGTTGGTGTCCCCAGTTGTTCTCACGGATTTCACAAAATTTTCGCTTTTCAAGATCTGTAGTTTGACTCATGGCAGATGTGCTCCTGTTGCTGTAGCTAACGGTTTAAGCAAGAGTAACAGCAGTTTCTTCTGTAGAAGCAATAATCCAAAATTCGGTGTTGCAATTTCACATATTTTACACAGAAGAATGCTTCAGTTTCGGGGAAAATTTTATCGCGACTACCTGGGAACATGTTTAAGAAATGTAATTTTTCTTCGATTTCACTTGAAAGTTTATTTGCACTGTACATCAGATGCCATCCTCGGTTTTTTGTGAATACATTTGCAGAACTTTCAATTAGCTCTACCTTCACGTAGTGTACGTCCACTTCTAAGCGTGCTCAAGTGGTGCTGTCCAGTCGCTACAAAATTTTGCATTAAATGTTCACAATGCCATCCACGCTTGCCAAGAAGAGGCACAAGGCTGCAGCATGCGTTGGTTAATCACTCAATATTAATGTTGACATTTTTCTTGGGCTCTTCCTTTGATTTGGGCACAAAGACGTGTAGAACACCATTCTTGAGCTCCGCTTTCACTTCGTCAATCTTAATATTTTCAGGCAACGTCATACGGGTGTTGTAGCTACCAAAACTGCGAGAGGACCAATTATATTCGTTCTTTTCCTCAACCTTGTGCTCGCCCTTGATCACTAAATCACCATCTTCGACACAAACTCTCACCTACAGAAATGAATAGCCGATTACGCGAGAATCAGCAGATGATTCGCTACTATAGTAATTCTTGAGAACACAACTGATATGAATAGAGTAGGGCACGCTTATGGACGCAAGGAAATTCAATTTCTTACCTCATCCTTCTGAAGACCCGGCATGTCGAACCGAAGTCTGAAAGCACTCTCGTCTTCCTTCACATCCCAAGGTGTGCGGAAGTCCAAGGCGACGCTAGTGGGTCGAGAAGGTGCGGCGCTGAAAAAAGGATCATCAAAAAGACGGTCTACTGTATTCAACATCTGCTTCAAGGTTCTATTGCCCGGATAAGGATCCCAAACATCTGCAGAAACAAAGTCAATTCGCACCTTCAGCTTCAATAGCTCATGTACAACCTAATTGATCTTCTACACCTGATTAATAGGATACCTGAATTACATGACTAGTAACCAGGAAATTCAGAAACGAAATATGAAAAAACAAACACCATTTAAGAACTTACCAAGAAACGCACTCGCCAAATCCCGTGGTACACCTCTTCTAAGACCGCCTTGATTCCTCCTCTGAGGAGACTTGCCTTCATTCTGAGGTTTCTCCAACTGACTTTGAGAATCGTAGTCACCATGCGAGGTAGTTTGTGCACTGCCAGAGACGCCCATCCGCTGGACAACTGCATACGGCGCTTGGCGTGGCAGTGGCGAACGTCCTTGCTCTATGAGAGCATCTTTGAACGTACTAAGGAAAGACTTAGCTGGACTGGTAACCACACGAGAGAGTGTGCGAGCGGCCATACTTATCAGCACCAAAGCCACACAATATGTCCACGCAACAGTCCTGACGAAATCACTTGCTCTATTTCACTGCAATTCAACTTCGCTAAACAGCTCTGCGCCATGAAACAGACAATTAATTACCAAACTCTTCCACAAGTTGTCCGCACTAACAGAACAAAGACTGCAACAAGAAACCGATCCTACAAATCCTATTCAATCTCAAGATCCCCGAGCTCAAGACCACATGTGCCACGAAATCACACTACAAAGATAAAGAAAAGAAAAGAAAAGAAAAAAGTGGTGCAAGAATTCACTCTAACCTCTACTCCAGCACACAAACTGAACAAGCACATGACCTTACAGAGGGCCACTCCAAATGCAACCAACAGAACGAATCAACAATTTTCGAAAGTATCTCGTCTCCGACTCACGAATCACAAGATCAATGGACATATCCACATACCTCAGTTCTATCAAGTTGCGAAACTAGCGATTGATCACGAGACTCGCCACTAGAATGGGAATGCTTGCAGTTGGATCGATCGGGTGCACGGCAGAGGAAAACAGTGCGATTATATACACGAAGAAGAAGAGCAGGGAGAGGCCCATCGAGGCTGGAAGTATTCTCCAGAATGGAGTCGAAGGCTCTAGAAATGTTCGGTGGTGGTACATTCTCGAAGGCTCCGTGGCGTTGGGATGGACCCGTGCATTGCCAAGTCAGCAGATTACTTTCCACGTAGGCTTAATTGGCTGTAAACAGTTGGATGGTTCGTGGTGCGGGAGGCTGGCATGGTGTGCCTAGACATGCTTGCCATGTCGAGTCCATGCTTTGGGAATAGTAATATTCTCCATCTATAAATTTATATAAATATAAATATTTATATTTTTTTGTATAAGTTTAAGTTTAAAAAAATGTGTTAATCAAAAGATTTCAGATATTAATATTATTTTCTCATTAATTAAAATATATATATATATATATATATATATAAAAATTAAGTAACTTCCATCCAAAATAAACTTGTTTAAAAGAACCAGAAAATTTGGCTAATATGGTATGGGGTATAACAACCAATGCATGGTGACAACAACTCCATAATATCTCAATCACCAAATTTATGTGCACAGAAATAGTAAAAATACTACTTTGTCTATCAGTGCACTTGTTTTTCAATAAGGTCACAACAACATTATGCAAACATGATTCACATGCCAAGACAATCAGCCATGCAAGCTACAAATGTTCACCAGATCTGAAGTTTGTGTTATCGGGGTTTCTGTCCAGATTGTATACATAAATCAGCAAAACATATTACAACTGTGATTGGATTTCACTGTATGGATCCACATCCAGAGTAGAAGTTATAATGGACAATCAGACACTAGAGTTTAAGATACTCTTGAAGCTTGGATCAAAACATGTGTGGTATTTCAACAGAAATGTTGTTGCTTCATGCTTTAGCTAACAAAACAGTGAAAGTTATCCAAAATTGTTGCCACAATGAATGGATTCAAGCTGCATTTCTGAAGACAAATGTGCCAGAGAGTATTCTGTTAACAAGTTTTGACTAGAATTTAACACATTTCTTTTCTAGAAGCTTTAAATCAACCAAATTTCTTGAGAGTATTTTCAAAGATGAAGTTGCAATTGTCAACAAGGCATCACACAATAGAGAATCATTGCTAAGAGATTTGAATGCATTGCTTTGAAGATGAGAAAATATGAACACAAAAATGTATTTGTTGGCTCCTTTCTTTATCTCAGAGGCTTGATTTCCAAAGGCAGAACTTGACGAGTAGCTCATTAGGAGCATATTGCACGAACATGGAAAACTTGAAAGAAATGGAGCAATTGGAAAGAGGTTCCATTGTTATTATGTTTAAAGTGATATAGGTTGGAAATTGAGGTTGCTAAGAAGGTGTTGTATGCACCAAGTTCTCTAAATTTAAAAAGGGAGTATCAATCTTAGGATGGCTATTCTATTTCAATATTGTATCCTTGTTTTGTTTTGCAAAAAGGTAAGTGGCAGTATTGAATGGTAATAGAGTTGATGGATGGTGATTTTTTTGGTTTAATGCAGATGATTATGGCTAATGACAAGACACTTAGTTATCTATTTAATATATTGGAATTGATTGAATCCATGCTTCAAATTAGACCTTTTGATTTGTGAGGTATTTTTTTATAATATAATATAATTAAATAATATAAAAAAGATATTAAAGAATGATTGTCCTAAGCTATTAAGATATTGTCATTCTTCATTGAAGCAATTAATCATGAAGTGTTGGAGCCAATATATAAGTAAACAACCATAGATTGATGAAATATGTGTTGAATTAAAAATAATGAAATATTAACTACTTATGTCATGATTCCATACTAGTAAATTAATAAATGTTGTCAAGCTAAGAGATATGCTTTGATTTCATTTCACTCTCTATTTACAATTTTTGGATGTAGAGAGTCTTTATTTAATTTATTGTTGAAAATATGTTTGGTATGAAAATTTTAATCTACAAATAGTTGATTAATTTAACCTCCAAAATATTTATTCTAATCAAAGATTTTTATTTATTTTCTAATACATAGTTTCAAAAAATAATTACTTTTAAAGGTAAATTTTTTAATGGAGCATCACAAATAAGTGATGGAAAAAAAAAGCTTTAGAAATGTCTAATATATTGAGTTAAAAGATGGATTGAATGTGGCATTAAAGTAGAAGAATCTCATATCTAAAGAGGATGTCAATGCTTTCCAAATTGAAATTATATCAAATTTAAATTATGTCAAATTAAAATTATATATATACCTACTTTATTTTATTGATAGGATATTGCAAAGAGCATTATAAACTAATCTTGATTTATATTTATATGGCTAATAGATCTTTTAAAGATCCATTTTATAGAATATTAATGCCAAATTATTAAAGAAGCAACAACTAGAGATTTATATTGATGTGGCACATGGCTTGCATTACCTTTACATTAGAATAGGCCAAAGTATTATTCATAGGGATGCTAAGACAACTAAAATCTTCTTAAATAAAAATTTTATTAGTAAAATTGTTGATTTTAGATTGGCAATGGTTAAAACCATTATAAAAAAAACTCATATAAGTATAATTACAAAAGATACATCTTGGCTATTTAGATTTAGAGTAATAAAACATGGGTCACTATACTTTAAAACATGACATGTACTCATATGATTTTCTTACAAAAGTACTTTGTGCATGTTTAACATTTGGTTTTGGATTTACACAAAGAGATTATTTTTTATCTTAGTAGTTGATTGAATTTGAAAAAATTGAATATCTAAATAAAATTATAAATGAAAATATTTTTCATCAAACTAGCCTTCATGCCATGAAGAATTAGTGCAACATTATTGAAAAATGTTTTTTTTTTTAAAAATATTTATTAATTTTTTATTCGTGATGTCCTTAAAAACTTTAATATTGCTTGCAATTTTATAAATTCACTTAGATAGAAGATATTTTTTTCAAGTCTTAAGCAAGATTCATGCACATATACACAAATAATAATAGTCATATGCTATCTATTTAAATAGGTGTAGTAAATCTTTTGATGAGTACTTAAAGGCTTCTAAAAAATAAAGAATTTTCAAAAAAAATTCATTAATCAATTAATGTGGAAATATTCTTACAATAAAATTATAGTCAAAAAAGATATAAATCATTTTAATTTTAATTTTTAGTTTAAAAAATGATTATTTTTATAATATGGGGCTTTAATTAAAAATTATTCAATATGATAAATTTTTATATTACCTAAATATATACAAAAAAGTCAAAATAGGTAGAATATATTAGATAGATAAAATATTCTTAAAAAAACTTCAAAGAAGTCTTTTAGATATATAATAGATCTTTAGATTCTTATACTTACTATAAAAGTATTAAAACTTTTTTCTATTAATTTTTTACTTCTAAAAAGCCATGTTGGAAGAAACTTACAATTTGATACTTTATCTATAAATCTTGGGATCTTAACAAAGCTAATATACATAGAAGTAAAATTGAAACCAATCTTAGACTTATCTTGATCTTTCTTATATTCCAATCTTTCCTTAAGACTCTTTAGTTTCTTTGTATTTGACAATAGCTATTATAATTTTTTTTTATTTTATAATTATATCTTTTCTTTATATTTTTATTTTTTAGAAATAAATATGTATTATCTTTTTAGTTTTTTCTAATTTTATGTACTTAAAAACTTTAAAAAAATAAAATTTATATTATTAAATTTTGATATTGATTGTTAAATAGTCAATTATTATTTATTTTAATATTAATAAAAATAAAATTAATAGATTACGAATTATCTTCTTTTAAATCAATGTTTTTTATAATAATACTATATATATATATATATATATATATATATATATATATATATGAAATAAAAACTTTCAAGTCGTTAAAAAATTATTGTAGAATTAATATAAATAAAGAAAACCATATTATAAATGCAAAAATATATAAACCATTCGGTATTTGCTATGCATTACCTTTGTCTATTATGCCAACTAATATTAAGAGTGATTAATCATGAAGATGTAGAAATAATAAGAATTTCTTTAACAATTTTACTAACTCTAATAATTCATATAAATGTAACAACTAAAAAATCAAAGGTTATTCTTTTGGAGAAGTTTGATAGTATAAGATCCAAGTTTTGAGGATTCATCAACTAAGTATAATTTTTTTATTCAAATACAACCTCATAGTTATTCAAATTAAGTATCTTAAGTTATAATTTTTAAAAATTTATTCAATTGATTTAATTATTATTATTATTATTATTATTATTATTTTAAAAAATCATTCTACTCAAGTTGTATGTACTTTTGGTAGGATTTGAATTTAAAAATCCAACATACAATACAACTTATATCTCAATTAATAAAATCTAAATTTTATGGTAAACAAATTAATTTTTATCTATATATGCATCATAATTTTAAAAACTACTTATTGTGCTAAATAAAAGACGTTCTTATTAAATAATTTCTTTATAAAATACAACATGTTATAAATTACTTATTGCTCAAACTATCTAATTCTTAAAAATTGAAACAAGCTTCTAATTTATTTTTTAAAATATAAAAAATTTAACTTTTAATTGATTCTTATATTATATCATCTTATAAAAGCTATATATTATTTTTTTATCTTCTTATTTTTTTAAACATAGTAAATATAAGTTTAAAATCTAAAAATCCTGATATTTTTATATAAGTTCCATTAATAAATCTTAATTGGTGGAATTATTAAAATTATAGGTTTTAATTATTTAAATATAAAAATATTAGTATTAGAGAGTCTTTTTAATGATTTAAATATTCATTAGAATTTAGCAATGCTTATAAGGTATAAGAATCTCATTAAAAAAAAGTTACAAGAATGTATTTTTAATAAGTTTTGGAAGCAATTATCTTAATTAATTTGATATTTTTACTTATTATTGAGTAATAAAGATTATTATTAAGACCAATATTTAAAATGGCCTTTTACTTATATATATATATATATATATATATATATATATATATATTATTAAAAACCTATAAATATTATTAAATAATTAGAAGGAACA